AACATCTTCAGTTAGTTATCTACCATGACTCCAAGATCTCTCTCCTGGTCAGCTACCACCAGCTCAGATGCCATTAACGTATATTTACGTCCCCCTGGTAGGTTCTGACATCTGCTCCATGGCACAGTCATTGAAAGTATCTAGAAACAGATTCTCTTTCTCCAGACTTGAACATATATTTACCCAATCAATGTGTGGGTAGTTAAAATCACCTATTTTGACAGTTATTCTGTCTAGCTGCTTTCCTCAATTCCTTTGCTATTTTTAAATTATCCTCTAACCTTTGATCTGGAGGGCGATAACAAACTCCCAGAGTTAAGCTTCCTTTTGGGCCCACTATTTCCATCCAAAGAGTTTCTGTAAGCAAATCTATTTCTCTTACATTCTCAACCTTACTGGACTGTTCACCCTCTCTGACATACAGAGCCACTCTGCCTCCAACCCTTCCCACCCTATCCTTCGGATATAATTCACATCCAGGAATCACTATATCTCACTGATTATCCTCAGCCCACCAAGTTTCTGAAATGCCCACAATGTCTATTTTCTCCTCTAACACTAAGCATTTCAACTCCCCCCATTTACCTTGGAAACTTCTAGCATTTAAATATAAACATCTATAATTCCCCAGACAAATTAGGCCTGCAAACCTTCTCTTGTGGCCTATAGACTTACTCAGGCAGTCAATATTCTTTGTCACTCTCTCAGTAGCAAGTCCTAATCCATTTTCCTCTAGAACAGTGAAAGCAACCCCTCGAACCAGATACATTTCATCTCCCATAAGCTTTGCACCAGGATTTAGTTTAAAAACTGCTCTGCCTCCTTTTTGATTTTATATGTCAGCAACCTGGTTCCTTCTGAGAACAAATGGAGGCCATCTCTTTTGCAACGGTTCTGCTTGTCCCAAAAAGCATCCCAGTGCCTAACAAATGTAAACCCTTCCTTGATGCACCATTGTCTCACCCACACACTGTCTAGTGTCACCGGCCCCACACATGGAACAGGCAGCTCTTCTGAGAAGGCTACCTTGGAGGTTCTGACCTTGAGTCTCCTGCTGAGCAGCCTAAATTTTTCCTCCAGGACCACATGACTGCATTTCTCCACATCATCAGTGCCAACATGTACAACAACCATTGGCTCCTCCCCAGCACTGTCTACCAGCTTATCTAGACCACACATAATGTCTGCTACCTCCACTCTAGGCAAGCAAGTCACCATACGGTCAGTATGCAGATTTGCAACCCATCTATCTACATGCCTAAGGATCAAATCACCAAGATTCCCCCCCCCCCCCCAAATCCCCCCCCCCCCCCGATGCTTCCTTGGTGCAAAAGGATACCTGTTCACCAACTGTAGAAGGGATTCCTACTGAGAGAATATTCAACCTTTCATCAGCACAGTGCCATTTTCCCCTTGACCCTCATGCTCTCAACAGTGACTGGGCTGCCATTCTCAGAGTGGGACATATCTAACAAGTCCCCAAGAGTCTTATCCATGCACCTAACTGACTGTCTCTGCTTCTCCAGGTCAGCCATCTTGGCCTCAAGGGTACAAACTCATTCCCTGAGAACCATGAGCTCCTTGCACAGAGCACACACACATGACTTCCATTCAGACACATTGCACTCAGCGCAATATCCTGGATAGTCTCCAACACCCTGCTGGCATTCTACCTTCATAATTCTTTTGGGTTTTTTAAATCCCCTTTTTTATACATTTCTATTTATGTAAATCTATTTGTGGAAAGTGTGCTTACCTTTTTTAGGGATGTGGAGAGACTAGTGCCCTGGCTTCCTCACCCTGCTTCTGAACTTGCTTGTCTGCTGAAATCACCTGTTTATTCCCATGTTCCAGACACTGTGTCAATGGAGTTGGGACACATTGGCACTGGTGTGCAGCCTGCTATCCCACAGAGCTGAGGCCTGCTTGTAGAAACCCTAAATAAATAGCTTCAGCCAAACCTCCATATCCCACTGGATCCAATCACACTAACTGGGAGCTAATCAATAAAAGAGAATGAGTGAGTCAGCCTCTGGTTCATTAACAATACCTATTGCTCAGACAAGAGCTCCTCTCCTTCCTAGACTGCCTTTTACTACAGATGCTAATTTAATTTCAAATGTCAATTTAGCCTTTCTAGGCTTGGATTAAAGGGGACTCCATCTGAATAGCCTCAGCAGTTACAGAAGGTATCTAAAGTGCTTGTTTTCCTACAGGAAAAAAACCTTCTTTAAAGAATGTGAGAATGAGTTTAACATTTTAGATTGAGTTTAAAAGTGGATCCTCTGTTCAAGCCCTAGCTGTATTTAAGATCTAAGAGCAGTTTGTTTTGTTTGTTTTTTGTTTTCCTTTTTCCTATTACAAAAACCTCCCTAAGGTTTAGTCTTCTGTGAACTCTTATCCCTAGCCTCTGGTTTTAGTAGTTTAATCTATAGGTGTAATAATATTTAAAAGTGATATTAGAGTTTAAACTAGCCCTGTAATATCAGTTTTAATCCTTGTCCTTTGTTTGACCCTCTTTTTACCTCTTCCCGTACTTCAGTAACACTAGCCAAGAACCTTTTGAGCCTGTTTAGAACTAAAATTAGCTACATCTGAGTAGTTTGAGCAGTTACAACAGAACTAAAATTAGAACTAGATCAGAAAATTAAATAGGACTAGAATTAGAACTAAAATTAGCTGTACCTGAGTAGTTTGAGCACCTACAATACTGAGAAGTTACAAAATGTTGGTATCTAAAGGGTTTTTTTTACTATTTGCCCTCTTGACTATTTTAATCACTTATCTTATCTTGATAGAATTTTATATTAAAACTTAGGTAGGGATGTGTGTGTATATATATGTATGTATATAAATGCCACTTATCCTCTCCTTGCTCATCTGCTAAACAGGCAATTTTATTCCCTTGTTCCAGACACTTTGTCACTGGAGGTGGGACACTTCGGCACTCCAGCAGTATATACATGCTTTGGGCATTTGCTACAAAGAGCAGCTTCCCAGTGCAGTGACTCATGAAAGCTCATAAAAGGTAAAGGTAAAGGTTCCCTTGCTCGAAAGCCAGTCGAATCCGACTCTAGGGTTGGGGTGCTCATCTCCGTTTCAAAGCCGAAGAGCCAGCGCTGTCCGAAGACGTTTCCGTGGTCATGTGGCCGGCATGACTAAACACCAAGGCGCACGGGACGCTGTTACCTTCCCACCGAAGTGGTACCTATTTATCTACTTGCAATTTCTTGCTTTCGAACTGCTAGGTTGGCAGGAGCTGGAACTAGAGACAGGAGCTCACCCTGTCTTGCGGCACCCGGGTCTTGAACCGCTGAACTACTGACCTTCCACAGCCTGCAGTTCAGCATCTTAACCACTTGAGCCACCGCAGCTCCATTGAAAGCTCATACCTTGCCACAAATTTTGTTAGTCTTTAAGGTGCTACTGGACTCTTGCTCTTTTCTACTTCTACAGACTAACATGGCTACCCATCTTGATCCAACACACACCAACAGATATTCATATGGTGGTGTGCAAGGCTTGAGATGGAACCATAGCAGTATTAGTATAAAATATATGATAAAAAGCTGGCTAGAATCACAGAGAAAAGAGGACAAAAATACATTAAAATGTTATCCTGTCCTTTCTCCAAGGAATTCAGAGTGATTTCCATGGTATTATGCCCCTCTTATCCTCACAACAACCTATGAAATAGATCGGGCTAACAGTGTCTGAGCCAAGTGAATTTTATTGCTGAGCAGGGATTTGAATACAGGCCTTCCAGATTTAAGAACTATGCTACACTTGCTCTCAACACACTTCCCATTCAAATTACTGCTTTGAACAATGAAGAAAATCAGTACAGAAATATGACAAATAAGTAAATAAATTACATGCATGACAAGAGCAAATTTTAGTCCTTATGGAGCATGGAAGTGCCCATCTTAAAACTATTAAGGAACACAGCCATACAGAAATCACTGTCTGCAGAATCTCATATATCCTATGTTGCCATTTCTGATGTAACTTCATTGTTTCAGTGAGCACAAACACATCTGGTTTGGATCTCTCACTGTGTATGCAAGCCTGTACATGGTGCTGTCACTGAAGACTACATCTGTATGCAGACAGGGCAGTGTGTAAAGTTAAAACAACTAAATATAACATTACAGCTCATCAAATTAAAAACAAGCTGTTGTAAATCATAGTTTTAATTTTAAACAAGTATTTCAGTCAACAGTGAACCAATGAAGGGTTCAAATAAAAACTTTAGTCTTTCTGCAACTAGATAATTGGTTGAACTGTTCATGGCTTTCTGGGTGAAATTCAAATGTATTTTATATCAGAGCAAGACACAGTTTGAATTCCAGAACCAACATTATGTTTTTAGGCACCAAGCCCTATTGAGAGCTAGGAAAATACAAAATTCCTAGGTTTCAGCATGATATACTTGGAAGTCCTAATGACATGACTGGAATTATGCCAACCCTCTTTTATGTACACCTTGGCACATCTGCAGGTATCTTAGTGTGCTTAAGACTTGCAAAAAAGGCTTCATGTAGAAGAAGACGAAGGGAAAAGAAGAGGAGATTGGATTTATAGCCCACCCTTCACTACCCAAAGGAGTCTCAGAGTGGCTTACAAACTCCTTTTCCTTCCCCTCCCCCCACAGACACCCTGTGAGGTAGGTGGGGCTGAGAGAGCTCTGACAGAAACGGCTCTTTTTCAAGAACAGCTGTGCCAGAACTATGGCTTGCCCAAGGTCATCCAGCAGGTGCAAGTGGAGGAGTGGGGAATCAAACCTAGTTCTCCCAGATTAGAGTCTGCGCACTTAACCACTACACCAAACTGGCACTACACCAAACTGTAGATGTGGCACTGCATTAAGATAATAACCCACATTGTCTTACACTCATTAAATACACAACTTTGCACTGTGAAAAGATAATAAGCCACGTTGTCTTACACTCATTAAATACACAACTTTGCACTGTGAAAAGATTATATGAAAGACCTACCACTTTATTGACAGCTTCCATATCACATAGGTTTTCCACTAATATTCGACATGCTTCTTCTTTACCCCAATGAGCAGCCGCATGAAGTGGTGTCCAGCCATCGTAATCTTTAATATTTACATCATAACCAGCCTGTATTAAAAGCCTGAAGAAGATATGATTAATTAGATGAATTTTAAAAAACAACAGTTTTGTTTATTAAACTGATAGTTTTCCACTTGCCTACATTGGAATATGTTAGAGAACTTAATGAAGTTTGAAATTATAGTTCCAGCCCCTTCCAATCCTCCAAGACTGATATTTATATCATTGCAGATTTTTAAAAAAACTTAATGTTTACTATACTTCTGGCAATTTGTATTCTAGGGTGATTTTGAAGGCCAGCTAGCATATAGGCCATAGTGATTCCAGGCATGAGGGGAAAGTGAGATGCGCCACAACCACCCCTTTGTCTTCTGATTCCCATGTCACATCCAACTCTCAGCAGACTGCAATCACAGTTTTAAAAACTTGGAAAACTAAAGCTAAAATACATCTTGTCAGTTATAATTAGGATTCAGACAAATGTTCCTAAATTTCTCATAGTCCCATTGTGCAGAGTGCAAAATTTTGTCCAAAACAGCACTGCTCCCACAGGAAAAAACAACAAGCAAACCCCCCAAACCCCTCTCACTGTGAAACTGGGATCCCTTCACCCTCTCTTACCAAGGACCAGGTCAAGAAAAGGAGAGGAATGTTCTTGGGCTCCTAACACAGCTGCAACTTGCTTCTGAAAGTGACTGCTTATAGCAGAATGTCAATTATACGGGGAGCCACAACCTACTCCTTTTACCAAGAGGGGGAAAGAATCGAGAAGGTTCTGCATATTATTATGGCATGCTTCTCATAAAATGGCTGTTATCAGCCACTGAGAAGCAAGCTCAGCCATCCAGTTCACTTTCTTGCCATGATAAGAGGGTATCAGGCTTTGATCACTTCCAAAGTGGCTGCTGTCCTTCTCTTGCCATAAGAGGTGTTGGATTGCACTCTGCATAGTAATACAAGTAAAGTGCACATTTTCTCCTCTAAAAGAGTTCTGAATTGGACAGGGAACTTTCGTTTCACAAAAAGCTTCCCCCTTTCAATTCATCTCATTATTATAGTTCTTTTGAAATGCATACATTACACACAATGTATACTAGTAACAGCTTAATGTATATTGGCTAAAAGATTATACACACATGCAAACACACATGCCTTTTTTAAAAATCCCATTTTGGAGCTAAGCTTACTTTAAGACTTCCGTATACCCTTTAGCAGCAGCTACATGAAGTGCTGTACCACCCGATTTTGCATGCCGAACATCGTTTATATGACCACTGTTAAGCCATTGCCTTGCATCTCTAAGCATTATCCGTTCTTCTTCTTTCCGAGCTGCCTCTATATCGACCCCTAAAGGGAAAGACATGTTTTGTTATTTTATGCAGTTTGTTAACATGGAAACAAATAAAAAAATAGAAACAAATCAGCATTTGAGGAACATGTTGCCTCTCAATTTCTGTACAGTACAGAGGGGAGGGTAATGTAATAAGATGCTTGTGTTCCAGGTTGAGGAAGGCCAGTGGCACTCATCATCCTGTCCTCTATACTATTTTGGTACAGAATTCTGTCCTAAAGCAAAGAAGGTGCAAGACTGAACACAGTCAATCAATCAATCCAATTACCTTTATTGGCATGTAACACTTACAGACTCATATACAACAGAACAACAACAACAGAAAATATTACTTGCAAAAAGAGCAGGTATGAAAAGGGTTACCATGTAAATGTACCAGCAAAGAAAACCAATTAATTAAATAGAGGGTGAATAGAAATGGCACCAGAAAGAAATTTAGCAACAGTTTCCGTCATCTCAAAATTTGGGTTATCAAGAAGAATAAGACTTTAGACAATCAGAATATTCTTCTAACTGAATCAAAATAGAGTTTAAAATTTTCCAATGTAGCACATGACAGAAGGGGCACTGAAACAAAACATGGGAGATTGTTTCGATGTATTCATTTGTACATGGGCAGCATCTATCAGTGAAGGGCACACCCTGGAAACGGCCAGATAATAAGGCCGAAGGGTAGTACGTTGAATCTGGCCAAGGAGAGGGCTCTACAAAGTTTGGGGATCCAAAGTTGATAAAGAGGCAGTATGGCCGACTTTAGGAAATATTCCAAAGTACAAAGGTGAACAGGTTTTGTTGGCGGCGTTATATAATGAGTGTAGCTCAAAGCAAAGTAGATTGGCTCGTATAATTGTCTAAAAGGCTCTAGAATAAGCTCCAGTAGCATTGTGTTAGTTCACAATGTATTCACTAACTAAAATGTTTCTGAATATAAAGTTAAGGCCAACATTGTCTCAGTTTCCTTAAATGGGCAGTATTTTGTTATACTATTGTTATGTTTTTATCTTGTTTCAATTGTTTTAATTATGGCTTTTGCCCTAGTTGTTAGCCGCCCTGAGCCTTAGGAGAGGGCGGGATATAAATCAAATTATAAATAAAATAAATAAATAAATAAATAAAAGCCTCAGATTCAGAAGAAGTAAGGAATCTAAGGTAATATCCAGAGATTTAATTTTTCATTCTATATAGATAATCCAGTTTGAATACAGTCAACTGTTCAAACACAGGTATTCTACCCAGTGCAAACTCACTACCACATATCAGCACAGGTTTTAACAGAAAATTTAAGCCAGCAGCATGCAGAAACAGAGATACACAAAAGGCATTCCAGCTGAGGCACTCAAGTGTTTCCCCCATTCCAGTCCATACATTTGTGGCTTAAAGTAGGAAGGCATGCAGGGCTTAGTAACATTTTGGGCTGAGAGACAGATATAAATCTTGTTTAAAAAATAGTGGCTATGTCAGTCTGTGTCATGCAAGAGAAGGGTGGCACCAAGACAGGCAGGGGTTTAAGTCTCCTCTGCAGAGTTGGATCTTTTTCAGTAAGCTGGATAGGCTAGGGCATCTGCTGAACGGCAAGGGTAAAATCACAAGTTGCAATTGCAAGTTTCTAAAAGGCAGACCAGGTGACTATGACACAGAATTGAAAAACATGCAGGTGACGAGACTGGTGAAGCTGAAGAGCCAAAGAAGGGCTTGGAGAACTAGAAGCGAAGCAAGAATATGTCTGGTGTATTATTTGTCTTTTCATCTCATTCTCAGTAATTGTACCCTCATTTCCCTTATCATAAAGATTCAGAATTTATCTGGTATACTGTAAACTTCAAATTTTTCATTCTAAAATTGTGTATACAATTGGTCAAATGACTTAGAAAGTTAAAATAGTACTTAAGTATTACTTATGATCAACCTGCTATGCAGACAAAACCAGGTGTGGCAAAACAAGCAGATTTAAAAAGTAATGCAAAAGACATTCCCTGCCCTCCCAAAGGATACAAAACAGAAGTGGGTGGAGGAGACAAATAAAATTTCAAGACACATTAAGTGAATTCATGTCACAGAAATTGTTTTAGGGAATAAGTAACTCCACAAATAAATTAATCTATTGTGCATATTTAATTTTTTCTTTTAAAAAATGGAAAGTTTAAGAATACAAAAAAGACAGTACTTTCACAAATGGTCTACAGAGGGCGATATTGCATCTCTTTTGATAGGTTTTCAGAATGAATAATCCACACAAAGGCTACTTGATGTCTGTACACTAACAAAAGTTTTTATTTTTTATCAAAGCAGTTCTTGGAACTGCAGAAAAGCAGAAGCTGATTTGCCACTTTACAAGTCAATCAGAAAAAGATGCTTGCACCATGAAGCCAACAACCATGAGCACAAGAGTGGTGATAGGAAATTTAATGAAAGTACACTTTGCTCAAAAGAAGCATTTTGCACAAATGCACAGCATTTCACAAGGACTTACAAATAAAACAACTATTTTCTCAATTACTGTCCAGCCACTCTGGCTCAGAACTCACAAAATAATGCAGAGCACTTGAAACACCTCTGGCCTTGAAACTTCTCCCTCACCATCACTTCAGTTAGGACGACAGCATACAGGCTAAGCTACACTTGATTAGTCAACAGGTTGGAACGACATCCACTTCCCCTCCCAAACCTGTTCCACCTTTACCCAAATGCATAACTAAAAAAAAACCCCATCAGATTCAGTCAGAAAGAGTGTTCCAGCTTCTTCAAAGTTTTCATATGAACTTTACCGCATGGTTGGCGGCCTATTTGTATGTGATGCAGTTACTATTTGTTTGACAGTCAATACTGTGAGAATAAACTATTATTGTTTCATATGTCTTTGTCCTTATGACATATTCATTTCTATCATCTTTACGAAGGGTATTCTCAATGGGAGAGGAAGCAACTGCATCTTCCCCATGACCCTGTGAGCAAAGCACTAGAACTGAGAAGTCCCACTGGTGCAGAGTCCTCTTGCATTTCTCATCCAGGCTACTGTAGGTATGAAGAACCAAGTGGTGAGACTAATACAATGTGGAGAGGAGAGGAGGTGAATATAATAAGGTATGCTGGGCCAACAGCCAGCAATTGCAAAGAACAAAAGGAGGGAGGGAGATAAAGCAGAACAAGATGAAGGTGGCTGGGCAAACTGGAATACATTCTAGGGCCCGAATGCATATACTTCCATGATCTAGCCACCCTATTGTCTCACAATTATGTTTGACGTTCTTCCTCACTGTTTCTCCTGAGTTAGTTTGTTTAACTCACTAAACTAACTAGTTGGTTAAAAAAATAAAGACTGGTTTTGTTCTGTGAAGATAGAAAAGAAGGGCTCTACACATGTCCACATATGTGTAGAAAAGAAGTGCTCATTGTTGTTGTTCAGTTGCACAATCGAGTCCGACTCTTCGCGACCCCATGGAACACATCACACACCAGGCCCTCCTGTCTTCTGCCGTTCTCCAGAGTTTGCTCAATTTCATGTTCGTTGCATCGATAATACTGCCTAACCACCTCAAATACTTTGGCCACCAAATGAGAAGGGAGCACTCACTGGAGAAGACCCTGATGCTGGGAAAGATTGAAGGTCAAAGAAGACGGGGATGGCAAAGGATGAGATGGTTAGACAGTGTCATCGATGCAACGAACATGACATTGAGCCAACTTCAGAGGACGGTGGAAGACTGGAGGGCCTGGCGGGAGATGATCCATGGGGTCGCGAAGAGTTGGACTCGACTGTTCGACTGAACAACAACAACAACAACCTCATCTTTTGGCATTCCCTTCTTCTTTTACCTTCAATCATTCCCAGCATCAAGGTGTTCTCCAGTGAGTATTCCCTTCTAATTTGGTGAGCTTCAACTTCAGTATCTGGCCTTCCAGGGAACAGTCAGGGTTCTTTTCCTTTAGGATTGACTGATTTGATCTCCTTGCAGTCCAAGGGACTCTCAAGAGTCTTCTCCAGCACCATAATTCAAAAGCATCTATTCTTCGGCACTCAGCCTTCCTTATGGTCCAACTCTCACAGCCATATATTCAGGGGTCTTGTTGTAGAAAAAGAGCTGCCGGAGCTCATTAGCATAACTCATTAGCATAACTTATTTGCATATGCCACGCCCCCTGACATCACCGGAAGTGACAGAAGGCCACACCCCCTGACATCACCGGAAGTGTGTCAGAAGGCCCGGCTACTTACCCTCCTGCTTCATCCTCATTCCCAAACGGAATGAGGATCGAAGCAGAGGGCGGGGTAAAGAAGGGGGCGGGGCTTCACCACGTGATCGCCCCGCCCCCTAGAGGTTCTCTTCCGGAGCTCCGTACCTGAGAGCTCCCCCCCGACTAGAGTCCTGCATATATTACTACTGGGAATACCATTGCTTTGACCATACAGACTTTTGTTGGCAGGATGATGTCTCTACTTTTTATTATGCTGTCTAGGTTTGTCATAGCTTTCCTCCCAAGGAGCAGGAGTCTTTTAATTTCATGTCTGCAATCACTGTCTGCAGTGATCTTGGATCCCAGGAACGTGAATTCTGTCACTGCTTCCATGACTTCCCCTTCTGTTTGCCAAGGAGTGATGGGGCCAGATGCCATGATCTTAGTTTGTTGCTGGGGTTTTTTATGTTGAGTGATTCACCCAGGCCTGCATTTCACATGATGTATTCTACATATAAATTAAACAAGCAGGGTGACAATACACAGTCAAAGGCTTTAGCATAGTCAATGAAGCAGAAGTAGATGTTTTTCTGGTACTCTCTTGCTTTCTCCATAATCCAACGAATGTTGGCAATTTGATCTCTCGTTCCTCTACCTCTTCGAAACCCAGCTTGTACTTCTGGCAGTTCTCTATCCATGTACTGTTGAAGCCTAGCTTGTAGGATCTTGAGCATGACCTTGCTAGCGTGTGATATGAGTGCAATTGTGCGATAGTTTGAACATTCCTTGGCATTGCCCTTCTTTGGGATTGGAATGTATACTG